TGGGCCTGGAGAACACTGCCTTAGGTGAAGAAGGTGCCCTAGTCCCACACCAAGTGGTTGACACTGGAGCAGTGTTCCCTCTAAGCTGAGTTACGGTGAGCTAGCTCACAGGTTTTTAGCCTCTGGCTCACACATTTTTGTCTTCGCTCAGGAAGGATGGCTCCAGAGCAAACTGATTTACGCAGTAGCCCAATCGCTCGCTCACAGCTTTAGTGCCAGCCGCTCACAAAGTAGGACTTTTGCTCACAAGACTCCACAGCTTAGAGGGGGCATTGCACTGGACACCTGAAGACGACTTCTACAGAGTCAGCCTGTTGGTCCATCTAGCCTAGCACCATCCATGTTTCTTGCTAAGCCTTGGGCAAGGGTCTTTCTTTCCCAGCCACCTCCTTGAGACTGAACAAGGGGACCTTCTGTAGGCAAAGAATGAGCTCTGCTATCAAGACATGATCCTTCCCCAAAACTTGACCACCTATCCAAGCCCCCACCCATATGTGACCTCAAAACTACAGAAGTTATTTCAGCCGTGAAACTTCCAGCCAAACAGCCTTTGTTGTGGAACCTTGAACATACGCAGAGATCTCTTATTAAACTGTCTGTAGTCAAGTTGTCTCTTCTGCCTAGTGGTGCCTCTCCAAGCTTTCCATCAGAGAAAGGTCTCTGCGAGTCCAACATCCTTCACTCTGGCGGGGCTGGGCCTGGGATCTGCCACTCTGCATTAGGCCTTCTCTAAATGCATCACATCCTGCCAACCTAGCAGTTCGAAAGCAAGAAATTGCAAGTAGATAAATAGGTACCACTTCGGTGGGAAGGTAACAGCGTTCCGTGCGCCTTGGTGTTTAGTCATGCCGGCCACATGACCACGGAAACGTCTTCAGACAGCGCTGGCTCTTCGGCTTGGAAACGGAGATGAGCACCGCAACCCTAGAGTCGGATTCGACTGGCTTTCGAGCAAGGGAAACCTTTACCTTTACCTTTAAATGCATCACAAACATGCTCGGTTAACCACATGAGTCCATTTTGTGCCCTGGTAGGTCGAGAGTGTGAAACAAGGTGTCGGGCAGCGGTTCCAAGAGGCCCAACAGAAGCTTCACCAGGTCTTGTCCGAGTGGGTCCAGATGCAGCCCGGAGGAAGCCAGGCCGAAGGAGACCCGCAGACGGAGGTATCTCTTGCTTCTGGACTTCTTCATAAATGTTCAGTAGGGCCATGGAAAAGGAGGGGAGTCAGCATGGGATAGCCTGATCTCGTCAGATCTCCAATCTCCTCCTCCTCCTTCTTCACCCTTCCTTCATGGAGCTCAGGACAGTGCACATGGTCCCCTAGGCTTGCCAACCTCCAGGTGGGGCCTGAAGATTCACTAGAACTGGAAATGATCTCCAGACTTACAGACATCAGTTACCCTTGAGAAAAATGGCTTCTTTGGAGGATGGACTCTACGCATTACATCCCTGCTGAGCCCTCTACCTCCTCCAAACTCCCCCCCCAGGCTCCCCCCCCCCCCAAAAGAATCTCCAGGAATTTCCCAACCCAGAAATCACTGGTCCTGTTTTATTGTTCCTTGGAGGCCGAAACACACTTGGTCCTGTTTTAATGTGGCTCAAGGTTATCAACCTAGAGATATCGAATTGTTGGTCCTGTTTTATTGATTCAAGGCTCTTAACCTAGAGATATCAAATTGCACCATGTTATATAGATTCAAGACTTCTTAGTTTAAATATCTGCCACCTCAAGGGCAGATTGTGCCAATCTGTTTAAGGCATAATTTTAGTGCATAATTTATTATAATATATATGTGTGTGTATATATAGATAGAAGCTGCGGTGGCTCAATGCCTTGAAAGCCCCTGGCTTGGGGTGCCGTAAGTCGGCTGCAACTTGACCGTACTCTACGCAAGCACACACAGAGAGCTATGAAAACGGCCTGCACTCTAGTTTATTTCGTCAGTTATTTCATTTACACCCAAAGCAGCTTACATCGTTCTCTCCTCCGTTTTATCCTCACAGCAGCCCTGCGAGGTAGGCAAGGGTGAGCCTGAATGGCCGAAGGTCATGCAGCGAGAGTGGGGTTTTGAACCCGGGTCTCCCAGTTCCTAGGCTGACACTCTAACCACTACGCCACATTGGCTAATGTCGCTGAGGAGTCCAGTGTTCCCTCTAAGCTGAGTTAGTGTGAGCCAGCTCACAGTTTTTTAGCCTCCGGCTCACACATTTCTGTCTCCGCTCGGGAAGGACGGCTCCAGAGCAAACTCATTTATGCAGCAGCCAAATTGCTCATAAGAACATAAGAACATAAGAGATGCCAATGTTGGATCAGGCCAAAGTCCCATCCAGTCCAACACTCTGTGTCACACAGTGGCCAGA